TGTCCCTCAGCTCTTCAGCTCAAGGCTAGTACTCTACCACTTGAGCCACACCACTTCCAGCTTTTTTCTTTTTGCTTATGTGGTGCTGAGGAATCGAACCCAGGGCCTCATGCATGCAAGGCAAGTGCTCTACCATTGAGCCACCATCCCAGCCCATTGTGCAATGAATTCTTGACTGCATTCTCCCTACTTCTCCCTTGATGTGTCTACCCTCCTCCCCTGGATCTCATCCCCCTCCTCTTTCATGTACCCATTTCTCTGTGCTGATTTTGTTGGGCTTTGACCTAGTCTTCTTAAAGCATTATACATTTGAGCTCTCCATAGAGTCTATTATACTTCATTCATTTGTAACACTTGCATACTACCCAACGTGTTTTCTTGCAGATTTATAGGTGCATTCTCTTTACCACAAATGAGGGAAACTGTGCTACCTTTGTTTCTCTGAGTCTGGCTTACTTCACTTAATATAATGTTTTCCAAGTCCTTTCATTTTTTTACAAATGGCATAGTATTATTCTGCTGGATGAGTAAAATTACATTATGTACATGTACCACATTTTCTTGATCCATTTGTCCATTGAGGGGTATCTAGGCTGATTCTGTATCTTGGCTATGTTGAATAATGCTGTAGTGCACATGGTTGTGCTAGCGGCTTTATTGTAACCTTGTTCTATTGAATAAGTGCCCAGGAATAGAATTACTGTGTCTGAGTCAGAAAAACAGGCCCATCACAAGTACAAAATTGAATTGGCAATAAAAGACCTCCCTTCCAAGAAAAGGCCAGGACCTGATGGCTTCCCAGCCAAATTCTGTAAGACCTTTAGAGGAAAACTAATACCAGTGGTCCTCAAACTCTTCAATTAAGTAGAAAGTGAGGGATTGCCACCACATTTATCCCAAAACCAGATAAGGACACATCAAGAAAAGAGAATTATAGACTTATCTCCTTAAAGAATATAGATGCAAAACTTCTCAGCACAATATTGGTCAACTGAATCCAACAACAAATCAAAGAAATCATGGTATGGTTAAACAGGATTTATCCCAGGAATGAAAAGCTGGGGAGTTTCTTTTGTTTGTTTTCTTGTTGTTGTTTTTTTTTTTTTTTGCCACTTCTAGGGTTTGATCCCAGGGCTTGGGTACTGTCCCTGAGCTGTTTTTGCTCAACGATAGTGCTCTACCACTTGGCCTATACCTTCACTTCCTTGGGGTGGGGGTGGGGCGGGATTGGGAGGGGTTGATGATTTTATTCATAAGAATCTTAAATCCTTTCCTGCCCAGGCTGGCTTTGAACTCTGATTTTCAGATCTCAGTCTCCTGAGTAGCTAGGATTAAAGGCATGAGCCACTGGTGCCCAGTGTAAAGCTGGTTTAACATACGTAAATCAATAAATGTAATATAACACATTAACAGAAACAAGGACAAGAACTAACACGATCATCTCAGTAAATAGAGAAAAAGCTGTTGACAAGATCCAACACTCCTTTATGATAAAAGCTCTGGAAAATCTGGGAATATATGGAACATTCCTCAGTATAACAAAGACTTATATATGACAAACCAACAGCCAACTTTATACTTAATGGTGAAAATCTAAAACCATTTTCCCTAAAATTAGGAATGAGACAAAGATGTCCACTCACTCTGCTCATCTTCATTATAGTGCTAGAATTCATAGCAAGAGCAATAAGGCAAGAGAAAAACATAAAGGTGATCCAAATAAGGAGGTAAGAAGCAAAATACTCCCTTTTTGCAGATGACATGATTCTGTACATAAAGGACCCTATAGACTCCTCTCCCAAGCAACTAGAGCTGATTTAAGACTGGCAAAGTAACAGGGTATAAAATCAACCCATAAAACTGTTAGCTTTTCTATATGCCAACAATGAAAAGGAGACTGAAATCAGGAAAGCCCAAACAATGACAACAAAAAATGATTTGGAGGGCTGGGAAGGTGGCTCAGTGGTAGAGCGCTTGCCTTGCATGCATGAGGCCCTGGGTTTGATTCCTCAGCACCACATAAGAAAAAAGCCGGAAGTGGCGCTGTGTCTCAAGTGGCAGAGTGCTAGCCTTGAGCTGAAGAGCTGAGGGACAGTGCCCAGGCCCAGAGGTCAGGCCCTATGAGCGGACCCCACAAAAAAAAAAAAAAGATTTGGAGTGGCCTCAAAACTGTTTTTTAAGCAACCATATTTTATTTTTTTCAATTAATATTTTATTTTTTTGGGGGGGGTCCGGTCATGGGGCCTGAACTCTGGGGCCTGGGCGCTGTCCCTCAGCTCTTCAGCTCAAGGCTAGCACTCTGCCACTTGAGCCACAGCGCCACTTCCGGCTTTTTTCTTATGTGGTACTGAGGAATCAAACCCAGGGCCTCATGCATGCAAGGCAAGTGCTCTACCACTGAGCCACCTTCCCAGCCCCTCAATTAATATTTTAAAACAGACTTTTGAAAGGCCCTTATGAGACCTCATTCTTTACCTTTGTTAATGTAGGATAGTTTCTTCTAGGTGTCTATCCATACTCCTCTGTGTAATAGATACATAAGTATAAAAATGTAGGAAAGGGCATAGGTATTAGAACCATTCCATTTCTTAAATAAGAGAATGATCCTAGTTTCTGTATTGGTCTTTACTTTTTCTAGAGATTCAGCCTTCCAAAAAGTGAGAAGTTAACATCTTTCTACTATCTACATTTTGCCTTGTACCTAAAACTTTAAAATAATCGGGCTGTTATAACTAGGCTTTTTCTTCACCATGCCTAGCAGGTAGTTGCCAGACATTTATTACATGAGTATGTATTTGTCTGTGGTGTGGCTCATGAGACATTGAATAAGATTCCTAACAACAAAAAATAAAATTTAAGGGATGGGAACTGGGGCCTAGTTGGCAGAGTGCTTGCCTAGCATGCACAAAGCCAGAAAACAGGAAAAAAAAAAAAAAAGGAAACAGAAAAAGCCAGAAGTGGCTCTGTGGCTTAAGTGGTAGAGAGCTAGCCTTGAGCAAAAAGAAGCTTGGGGATGGTGCTCAGGCCCTGGGTTCAAGCCCCAGGACTGTCAAAATAAAATTTTAAGCCAAGTTCCAGTGACTCACATTGTAGTCCTAGCTACTTGAAAGGTAGATATTGACTGGGAAGATCACGGTTTGAATCCAGTTCAAGCAAAAGGTTAGTGAGATTACATTCCAACCAGTAAATGGGACAGTGGTGCACACCTGTCATCCTAGTTGTATGAGAGTCTAGGAGGCTAAGATGAGGTGTTAGGCTAGCCCCAGCAAAAATGTTTAAAAAAACCTATTAACAGAAAAGGCTGGATGTTGCAGGGTAGACCTGTCTTCCCAGTGCTGTCTAGCTAAGCAATGAGTTTAAAGCTTACCCAGTTCAAACCCTACTACAACCCCCCCGCAAAAAAAAAATGTAGAGCTGGGTATTAGTTGATACACAGCTTATAATGAGGTCAACTTGTAATATATAACAAGACCCTGTCTTGGTGGCGGGGGAGGAGGGGTGGGGGGGGTGATAAGTAAATATTTCTCTGGCTGGTTCTTTTTGGCCGGGCCCTTTCCTTCTCTTTCTTCCGAGTTGTTGAAAGTGTTTCTATTCACTCTTATTTTTTCAGTGTTCTCACTGTCATTGCCACAAGAACTCAACTACTCAGAATTTTAACTGCTTCATTTGTAGACATTTTATTTTATTTTTTCATATTCAAAGTTTTTAAATGTGTTCCGGATATATTGTTCTTTGTGTACTATATTTTATGTTGATCTTTGTACTGAGTTTTTATAAAAAGAGATATATAAGATGATTTATAGGACAGGACCTGTCCGCCAAATTCAGGAGCCAGTACTGGTTTCTTCTTTATTTAATAACAGAATGATCCTGTTTTGTGCCATTTCTATTTCCTTGATTTCTACCCTGATTATGTAATACATTTCTTGTGTTACTAAGTGTATTTGCATTTAGTTATTTTAAGATTTTTTTATCTGTCAAGTTTTTATTTTTTGTTGGTACTAGGGTATAAATTTCAGGCCTCAGGCTGGCTCAGCTTGCTTATTCAACTGGTGCTTTAGCACTTGCACCACAAATCCAGCCCAGCTTTTTACTGGTTCTTTTAGAGATAATAATCTTGCAAACTTTCCTTCTCCTACTAGTTTTGTGATTCTTGTTTGAATTTCAGCCTCCAGAGTAACTGGAATTACAAGCCACTAGCTGCTGAACCACCAACATTCAGTGATAATGATTTTGAAGTAATTACATATACTTGAATTTTAAAAGTTCCTTCTTTAAATCTTGAATGTAACCAAGAAAGATATGTAGGTTCATCCATTTCTCAACATTTATCCTAAGTTGATACCATTGTGTCCGTTTTCTACAACTCTATAGTATTAAGTGTTTTTAATTATAGCTATAGAACTATTTTGGCATTATATTACTTCATTGCATGCTCATTCATTAATAAAGAAATACCTGTCAGGAGACTGAGATCTAATTATCTCAGTTAAAAGCCACCCCAGGCAGAAAAGTTCACGAGACTCTTACCTCCACTAAAAATCTGTAGATGGAGATATTTTGCAAGTTATTAAGTGCCAGCCTTGAACAGGAAAGGAAAGAAAAATTACAGGCACCAAAAGAAAAATGTAATAAAGACTTCTAAATAATCTACAATTTATCTTTGAGTAGTTTTGTGTTTACTTAACTATTTTAACCCTTATTATAAAGTGGGGTATGATTTTTACCTTGATTACGCTCTGTATAAAGGTGGCTTTTCTACCTTAAATATAAGGTGATATTTTATAGTTAATAAAAAGAGCTAAATCTTATTGGACAATTACATCAATTTAAAAGGATAATTTTGTTTGATAACTTAAGTGTAATTTATTGGCAAAAAGCATAAATTATTTTTCAGTTGTTAATCCAATTTGGTCCACATATAAATTAGTACTTCAAAAGATTTATTAAAATATTTTATGTAAAATATTTCAATTTTATTTTCTTTCTTTTTGTTGCAGGAGCTAGAGTTAATGCCAAAGACAGCAAATGGTTGACACCTTTACACAGAGCAGTTGCATCTTGTAGTGAGGTATGACATTTCTTATAGTAAATTTATTGCATATAAAAAATAAGAGAATAGCTTTTGTGAGTCCAAATTTAAATTCTGTATTTTCAGAAGAAGAAAACATTCTTGAAATACTTAGATATTTCATTTCAGAATTTGTATAAACAAGGTCATTGTAACTGTCTCATTTCGTCTGAAGAATCTCTTGAAGAGTATGAAGTAAATGACAGTAGAAACCCTTATTTCCATCCCTTTATATGAGAAATTATTCTTCTTACAGTTTTCAGTGAGGCTTTCTCTATTGGTTCTTACTAGCTAACTGCCAAGGTTCTGATGATTGTCATCAAGTCATCATCTTATTTTAAAATAACATTTTAAAATAGTTGAAAACAAGTTTCAAAAATATTGCTTCTTTTAGCAGTTGGATATGTAAAACTTATTTACAGCCCTGTATGTATTTGTTCAACTGGCATTTTTAGAGAACACTCATTATTTGCAAAATATTTTTTATGTCTCATGGTCCTCATGATATCTTTTATTAGTGATAGGTATTTTGAAGCAACTAGAAACCACTTACTGTTAAACAATGATGGATGAAACTCCTGGATTGTCTTTTTCTGTCATTCTGCTGCTTTGTAAAGTACATTATTAAGCATACACCTTTCACCTAACTCTACAAAATAATGGGTTTCTTTTTTTCTTTCTTTCTTTTTTTTTTTTTTGTCAGTATTGGGGCCAGAACTCGGCCTGGGCACTGTCCCTCAGCTCTTCAGCTCAAGGCTAGCACTCTAGCCACAGTGCCCCTTCTAGCTTTTTCTGCTTATGTGGTGCTGAGGAATCAAACCCAGGGCCTCATGCATGCAGGGCAACTGAGCCACCTTCCTAGCCCCAAGGTTTCTTGATTTTTAAAATGGTTTGTTTGTTTAGGGTACTGGTCCTGGAGCTTGATCTCAGAGCCTGGCTTCTGTCTCTGAGCTTCTTTTTGCTCAAGGCTAGCCTTCTACCACTTGAACCACAGCCCCACTTCCAGCTTTTTGGTAGTCCATTTGAGATCAGAGTCTCACAGACTTTCCTGCCCAGGCTGGCATCAAACTATGATGTCCTTGTGAAAATTTAGAAAATAGACTGCAGTTACTCTGTATAGGTTTTATGTCTTTCACACTATCTCAGTGTAATCTAAAACTTATTTCAAATTTGGCCTTTGAAAAGTTCATCTCCTTACATACCCCTCTGGGGTCATGGATGTTTTCTGTTAAAGAAAATAAGGAGTAGGGAGCCAGTGGCTAATACCTATAATCCTAGCTACTCAGAAGGCTGAGATATGAGGATTCCATTCAAAGCTAGCCTGGGCAGGAAGTCGTGAGACTTTTATCTCCAGTTAACCACCAGAAAACCGGAAGTGGCAAGTGGCCCTGTGGCTCAAGTGGTAGACCCTAGCCTTGAGCTGAAGAGCTGAGGGACAGCGTCCAGGCCCACAACCAACCAAAAACAAAAAGAAAAGGATTGCTCCCTTTGTCTTCATGATGAATCAGTTTTAATAAAAACAAGTGGTGGGATTAATTTAGAAAACCTTGAGTACATTTTCTATCAGTTGTGGTAGAATCAAGGGATATCTCAAATAGTGTAATTCCTTAGAGAGGCAAAATCAAAGTTCAGTAAACTAAGCCATCAGGAAGTAGGTACTCAAAAGGAGGGGGATTAGGAGGAGGAGTCAAGGGGAAAAAGGCTGATGATTGAAGAGAAGAGGAAAGAAATACAAATAAGAATCCAAGGTATATCTTACAAAATTAAGAGTGAAGAAGTGGAAGGAGTGAGGTAAGGGAAGGATGGGCAAGAATGTTGAAAGGGGCAACATTGATCAAGATATATTGTATTCAAGCTAAGCACCGGTGGCTCATGCCTGTAATCCTAACTACTCAGGAGGCTGAGATCTGAGGATCACAGTTCAAAGCTAGCCTGGGCAGAAAAGTCCCTGTGAGAGTCTTATTTTCAATTAACCACTCAAAAACTGGAAGTGGAGCTGTGGCACAAAAGTGGTACAGAACTAGCCATGAGCAAAAGAGTTCAGAGACAGTTCCTAGGCCCTGATTTCAAGCCCCACAACTGACAAAAAAAAAAGGATATATTTATATCTGCTTTGTTAAATGGCAACTCCCTTGTACAACTTCTTAAGATTTTTTAAAAGTTAAAAATAACACCAGTGATGATAAAAAAAAATATGTTTAGTATTGTTTTTCTCCTGTAGAGTTTGTGCAAATACCTGTGCTTTCTTAATAAAACATACACACATTTGTGTGTGTTCTGTCTTTTCTGCTTGTCTGGCTCTGAACTGCAGTCTTCTAGATCTCAGCTTCCTGGGTAGCTAAATGTTATAGGCATGAACCACCACGGCCATCTGTTGTTTCTGAGGGGTTTTTGTTTTGTTTTGTTTACCTAGGAATAAGCTGCTGTGAGCATTCATGGAGAGATCTGTTTTTATTTCTCTTGAGTAAATACCTAGAGTGGAATTATGAAGGCCTAGACCTCCACATATCTTTAATTGACTAAACTGACTTCTTTTCCTCCTCCTTTCACCACCCTGTTAACTCCTTGTACTCTTTCCCATATATCAGACAGTTGTGATTACTTTTTGTTTTAAAGGCTTGACATGCTTTAATGATTTAGGAGTATTTGGTTACTATTTTTTGATATTTTACATATTTGTAACTAGTAGTTTGTAACACTCTAAATATATGTTAGTTCATTGTACCTTATAGTAAACTTGAGAAAAGCAAGCAGCATCTCTTCTCCCTGGCCTTACAGATTATAAAAATCCACAAGGGTCAGTTTTACCAGATTTGAATAGCATGCTTTGTAAACAAGAAAATTTGACAGTAGAGTTCTGTTCTGGTCTTTTTTATTTTCATATGTAGCTTGTCATTATCTACCAAAGATAAAATTATGTTCAATGTACAGAGAAAAATTTTTGCTAGATTCTATTTGTGATATTGCTTAATGGTGGTGATGTACTAAATTCTTGGGATCCTGCCATTAGTTCAATTTACAACTATGGTGTTGAGAGGTTTTCTTCACTTCTGATATATATATCACATTGTTCACTAAACTCTTGCCTTAACTCTAGTATTTCAACGAAAAACTGTGTATTTCTTTTTACTTTTACATGTCCCATTTTAAAGCAGCAGGTCTCCTTAAATATGTTCAACATACAAGTATTTTAGACCTGTGCTTGCCAAGGCAGGTGCTTTACTACTTGAACCACAGCCCCATTCTAATTTCTGTATTTTGGATAGGGAGAGAATGTTTCAGGATTATACATCTATTTCTGTCTATGAGTAGTTTTTTGTTGTCGTTGTTTTAATTTTTGGTTGGTCGTGGGTCTTGAACTCTGGGCCTGGGTGCTGTCCCTCAGCTCTTGCTCAAGGCTAGGGCTCTACCACTTGAGTCACAGTGCCACTTCTGGTTTTCTGGTAGTTAATTGGAGATAAGAGTCTCACAGACTTTCTTCTCTGGGCTGGCTTTGAACTTTGAGTCTCAGATCTCAGCCTCCTGAATAGCTAAGATTACAGGCATGAGCCACCGGTGCCCAGCTTATGAGTAGTTTTTTAATTAAAAATATTTTGTTTTCTTTAATGAATTCCTTTTTTTTCCTTTATATAACCATTTTTGTAAATAACTTCCAAAGCCATTTACTCACTTGTCTTTTATTTATCTTGGATATTTTAGGAAGCAGTTCAGGTACTTTTGAAGCATTCTGCAGATGTGAATGCTCGAGACAAGAATTGGCAAACTCCTTTACACATAGCTGCGGCTAATAAAGCTGTGAAGTGTGCAGAAGCTTTGGTGCCTCTCCTGAGCAATGTAAATGTATCTGACCGAGCAGGAAGAACTGCATTACATCATGCTGCTTTCAGTGGACATGCAGAGGTGGGTGCATTCAGTTACACAGAGTTTACCTTCCTTACCACCCCTGCTTATTAATGAGCTTGCCTTTTTTGACCATTCACTCTATAATGAAAGCAAACAAAACTATCTTGCTTATTTTCATCAAATTTTGCCTTTAATGAGCCATCAATATTTTTTCCCGACAAGTCTTTCAAACTTAGAGATATGTTTAGTACATTCTGATTATACCCTTGAATTCTAGAGTAAACATAGAATGATGAAAATTTTATCCAACTATAAGCAACATGAAAGGGATATTATATCACTGAAAAAAAATCTAGGGAGAAAGCAGTTTTACTATTCTCTTGAAAGGATAGCAAAGAAAGGCAGTTTAGAAATAATTTGCTTGTGTTATATATTTGGCAGTATGAAATTTGGGCTTGTACCTGCATTTTGAGCCTGATCTCTGGCCCCTTTTGCTTTTGGATTATTTTTTAGATAGAGTCTTGGGATGTTTGTCTGTTTTGCTTGTCTGGTTTTGCCCATGGTTCATATGGATCATTATCTTCTTGCATATATCTGGAACCATAGATGTGTGTCATGAAGCCCATCATTTTGGTTGAGAAGGAAGTCTCTATTTAATTTTTTACCTAGGCTGGCTTTGAGCTAGTCTTCCCAATCTCTTCCACCCAAATAGCTGGGATTATAAACATGAGCCATCACATTTGACTAAAAAATACACTTTCATACAGTTTATTACAATCAACATTTAGCAGAACTCTTTGATGACAGATTGATCAAAAAAAAAATTGAGTTATCTTTCAAAGTATCACTTCTACTAGTTGAATTAGACAAAGTTAGATGAACATTTGAGGCTAACTTGTCCAGTATTTCTGTTGTTGTTATTGGGAGGTTGTTTTGTTAGTTTGTTTTTGTTTTGTTTTGTTTTGTTTTTGGGTTTGGTCGTGGAGCCTGAACTCTGGGCCTGGGCGCTGTCCCTCAGCTCTTCAGTTTAAGGCTAGCACTCTACCACTTGAGCCACAGCACAACTTCCGGCTTTTTTCTTTTTTGCTTATGTGGTGCTGTGGAATCGAACTCAGGGCCTCATGCATGCAAGGCAAGCGCTCTACCACTGAGCCACCTTCCCAGCCCCTGTTTTATTAGTTTTTGAGGAGAGATTTTTCCCATGTTCATCTCAAAACCAGGGTCATGTTACCCTCAGCCCACTAAATAGCTAAGACTACAGGTATTCCCCTCAGTAATTGACTCCTAGTCCTTTTTTCTTACAAACATAGAATTGCAAAGAGATAGGTAACATTCTTAGCACAGAGCTAATGGCCTTAGTGTTCTTTTCATGGTACTACTCTGATTTTCCAGTGTGAGAATCCTTGTCTAACTGTAGTTAATGTCACAAGATGAAGTCTGCAGTGTCCTTCAACAGAGAAAGAATTGTAAATACAATTAGATATAATTATTATTATTGGTATTGGTACATTATGCAGTTAGTAGGTTATGCAGCAACCTTCAGCCTTAACCATATTGTAAAGACTACATTTGTGCTTGAATTAAATTTAAGAAATTTCTGGGATGAGATTGGACTTTGCATTCTAATAGTACTTTGGGCTATGAGTAAGAATAAAACCTGTTTAAATATTATCCTTTAGATGTCCAGATGTATACTTAGTTTCCATAAGTACCAGGATACAGAGTAGTAATTGAAAAGATACTGTTGTCTGACTTCAACCCATACAGGTGAACCCTTTTTATCCTTTTTCAATATTTTATCCTGTTACTATTTCTACTAATGTAAAAATTAAATACCAGAGAAACTGCTATGAGTACCCAAGGCATATCTATGAAGTTCTGCTTCTGAATTTCTGTGAAACTATTTACTTTTATTACAGATGGTCAAACTGCTCTTATCCAGAGGTGCCAATATTAATGCTTTTGACAAGAAAGATAGGCGTGCTATCCATTGGGCGGCATATATGGGTATGTGATTTTTAAATTTACTTTTTAACATCTGTATTTAAGAAAAGCTGTACATTTTAGTTCTTACCAGTTGCATAACATTTCTTGCAGTGTAGTGAAAAATTACTGTATTTGAGTTGACTGATCTGTGGAACCAGCTTGGGAATTGGAGGTTTTCTATGACAAAAATACACTGGATCCACTTTATCTAAAAGCTGGTATTGCTTTTTTTTTTAAAATATCTTTAAGTAGAAAATTTATTATCTTTAGGTAGTTGTACAAAGCTTCTTAGGAATACAGTGATCAGTGACAACCCCCTTCAACATTCTTACCCCCTAAAACCCATTCCTTCCATTACTTTATAAATTTTGTGGTATGTACAATGCATAATCACCTTTTTTTCTCTTCTTTAGTATACCCTCTCCCCTTGGTCCTACCCCCTCTCCTCTTGCATACACCCATTTCTGGTGCTGATTTTGTTGAGCTTTGACCTAGATTATACTATTTGGGTTCTCTATAGTCTGTTACACTTAAAGAGATACCTCAGACTTGGCACTTTGATGTTTAATTTAGGATCAGAAGTTCCTAAAAGTGGGGCTGGGAAGGTGGCTCAGTGGTAGAGCGCTTGCCTTGCATGCCTGAGGCCCTGGGTTCGATTCCTCAGCACCATATAAGCAAAAAGAAAAAAAGCCAGAAGTGGCGCTGTGGCTCAAGTGGTAGAACGCTAACCTTGAGCTGAAGAGCTAAGGGACAGCGCCCAGGCCCAGAGTTCAGGCCCCACGACCGGACCCAAAAATAAATAAATAAAAGAATTTCCTAAATGTGTCCATTCTCATAGCCATCCTGTTTTTATTGGAATGTTGAGATAAAATAATAAGGATGTATTAATAAGCCTGTTATTTTGAATGCTACATTAAACCTGCATCATGTTTGCCTTCAGTTACAGTAGAAATTTGAAAGAAACTGAATTTTAAAGGCATCTTTGCTGTATTAGGTGTTTTTGAAAAATCTTATGATTGTACTTGAAAACTAATGTAACTTCTGAGAAAAATGGGCCTAGGATACACACCTAAAAACCTGTCTTTGTGATCAGAACATTAACAAAACCATTCATTGGTGCTCATGATAACTTGGTGAGCCAGAGAGGCAAATCAAAGTCTGTGTTAGAAAATGTTAAAGTATACAAAAACAGTAGCATAGAAATATTCTTTGCAAGCCAGGCACCGTGGCTCATGACTATAATCCTAGATATTCAGGATGCAGAGACATGCAGAATTGAAGTTGAAAGCCAGTGTGGTCAGAAAAGTTCATGAGAATTTTATTTATTTATTTATTTATTTTTGGTCGGTCATAGGGCTTGAACTCTGGGCTTGGGTGCTCTCCCTGCACTCTTCAGCTCAAGGCGAGCACTCTACCGCTTGAGCCACAGCGCCACTTTCGGTTTTCAAGTGGTTTATTAGAGATGAGTCTCATGGACTTTCCTGCCCAGGCTGGCTTTGAACCACAATCCTCAGATATCAGCTTCCTGAGTAGCTAGGATTATAGGAATGAGCCACTGGACACCCAGAAGTTCATGGGATTTTTTTATTTCCAGTTAACCAGCAAAAAACCAGCTCAAGAGGTAGAATACTGGCTGTGAGGGGAGAAAGGTCAGTAAGAGTACAGAGCCCTGAGTTCAAGCCCCAGCACTAGCACAGTAAACCAAAACTAAATACTTTATTGTACAAAGATCGTATAGATGAAAATAATAAACAAGGAGGAAATAGGTTCTGCCATGGCTTTTTTTTTTTTTTTTTTTTTTTTTTTTTTT